AGGGAATGACTATCTACTACAATTTTGAAAGCTGAAATAGAGATACCTGATTGGGGGACGGGGGGAAAAATGATGACAGAGGTCCATAGGCAGAGTCTTAAGTGACAAGAAAATGGGAAAAGTGAGCTATCTGTTCCTATTACATCTTGAGGGTACAGGATGTCAAGCAGACAGAGCAGGGATGGCTTCAAAACACGGCGGGGGGGATCTATCTTCACAAAATATGTTGACTACTGACTTCCTTAGCACAGGAGAAATGCTAGAAGTTGATGTAGGTTCCAAAATGCAGCTGAAATAATTCAAATAAGAACTCCACAGAAAACCTCTTCGTCATGAAGACCGTGATCAAAAATTGCTTGAGGCCAAGAGAATATTCTTGGAATGTACTGCTACTTTTTTTACACTGTTCTTTATAAATTGGCTCTTGGCAGCTGCTAAGAATGTATAGCTAAAACCAGCTTTTGCTTCTACCTCATATAAGGTGTCTTACTTTTCAAACAAAAATTACAGATAACTTATGTCTATTAAATAACCCACTAATTTATCTACCAGCAGAAAAATCACCTTACATTTAGGTATCAGACAAGTCAAAGAACAAAACACACGAAGGAAAACATCGTGCTGCATCGCATTTTTTTCAATTAGGTGTTTGAGTGTCTTCTGTTTGCATCACAATGCAGAGCAAGACCAAAATACAGCTACATTACTGATTTCTTCAAGTACTTTTACAACAATTACAGCTTTGCAAGTACCTGTACTCAGGTGAAGGTTACAATTGAGCTCAGTTGTAGTCAGGTTCCCAACAGCACTAATTTTTTTAGCCATACATTAACAATTAGAACTGTTTCTGTTTTCCACTGGCTTCATCAATATTCTTAAATATTCAGAAAGAAGCAGCTTTATTATATGCTAATATTAGAAAAACTGTAGCTGTCAGTGTAAACATTGATCCAGTCCTTCTCCCATTCTTGGAGCAAAGGCATCCCAATATTTCTTGAAAGAATAATCCCCAACAAGCAAGTCTATTCCTCCTAGTTAAGAATACAACAAAAAATTAGGCTTAATTATTAAAATAAATCTGTAAAGTGAAGTCTCCATTCTAAATCACCATATAGCTATGTTGGGGAAACTAGCGTGCTTTAAAATCTACAGATGCAAAGAGATCTATACTACATTCATTTATTATAAATATCTTCTAAATTATTACTTCACTGCAAGATGTTCTGGATGTGCAAAAATGTAACAGTGAAAAATTATTTACTGAAAGATAGTATATTAAAAGGCAAAGCCTTAGGGCTAAACAGACAAGATTTTATTGTTCATTTGCAAAGGAGAAAAGTTTTAGATAAATGAGAGGTAATGAAATAAGAGCATTCATGAAAACTGAAAAATGTCAAACAAAACAAATACTGAATCTACTATCACAGTGCTTGTTCCAGAAAAGTTGTACAGCAGTCAGTTACTATAGCGAGCTGTACTGTACAAAATTTCACACCAAGTCAACATATTTCCAATCAAGTAACAAAACTTGCCTTTGGAGTCAAGGCATCATTTCTTGATGCAGACCTGACAAATGTGATGACTGTCAACAAACTGATAGTGTATGAATATGAGGGATATGGTAGAAACAATTGACAGATCATCAGCATTTGTGAAACTTCAAAAATTACTAACTATTCCTAACACAGCAAATTCATTCACATAAGTAAACTAGAAGCTCTGTAATTACTAAAATATTCAAGTGCTTCACAACCCAAATTTAATCTTTAGATTTTACTGTTTGGACGGCACACGTACATATGTGCACATCATCACAAAAGCCAACCATTTTAAAGTGAAGACACTGGAAAAAACACACATAATATTCTTCTACAGAGTATTTCTTCAGATTCTTAGCGCCCAAAGGTAAGGACTTTGTTCCCTATTTTCCGTATCAATTTTAGTGGAAATACTCATGCAAGAGACACTATTTTGAAGCATAATTGTTATCAAAGGAAAAAGATTTGTCTCCAAATTACTCATCACTGTCTGTTCCACTGTCTTCTGAGGAGTCAACCAATTCTTCGGTTACTGCAGCAGTGCAATACAATTTTTTTGTACCTAGAAGTAATTAACAAAGTGTAACATTTATAAAGCAAGAAAAACCAAGAGCTTTAGAACAAATATGTAGTAGTATTGAAACAAAACAAAAACCAAAACAACAAAACCCCACACTTTAGACTACAAACCAGACCAAACCACTAAAAACTACTTCAAACTGCTCTTTGTCTGTGCTGTTCTGATAGAAAAACGCCCTGCTGCCTATAGTTTGCTATTAGAGGTCCTCTTATCTGTTTTCAGAGAATTTGAGCAAGTCAGCTAAATGTCACATATCTGAAATAAATGAGTGTTTTAGATAAAGCCTATCCAAAAATAAGGATGTTAGTAATTCTATGCGTTACAAACACTGACTCATTCATTCCTTACCAACTGGAAAAGGACTTCTATCTTCAAAATCTTCCCAGTGTTCAAAATCAAAAGACACATGAGGATTCTGTTGAAAAAAAACATTGTTTGAAGTAACTGCACTGACACACAGCGAATATGTTCAGAACATTCAATAATTCTCAAATTTCCACTTCACCTTGTTCTTCAGTAATTTGCACCACGCTCCTTTTTTCTCTTTCGTGAGAACAATAATAGCCTCTTTATCCTTAATCACACACGTAGACTTTTCTGCAAGTATATCTTGATGCAGCTCCATGTCAGCCAAATAAAGTTTGTCTCCTGAACAAGCACTACATCATAAAGAAGTTTAAAAAAAATTAAATGCAAGATGACAGTCAAATGTTGTGTTTACTATACTTAAATTTCTTAAACCTACCTGAAAACCACCTTCTCTTTAGTGAAGTCACATTTACAGTCAGCTACACTTGTTATTTTTACCTTCACTGTAACAGTCTCTTCATTTTGAAACCATTTTATTTCTGGATAAAAGCTAAAATAAAGAAAATTTAATTGGATTTTTTCCAAAATAGAAAACAACTGAGTTTTAGACAAGCTGTCTCACATACAGCCAGAATTTTCCCATTAGGTTACAAGCAACCAGCTGAGTTTCAGTGTCTGTAGGTGTACTCAACCATAATTATTTGACACTGAACAGCAGTATCAGGAAAGCATGTGATAGGATGTCAGCAAAGCTTGCGACAAAAGCACTGCAATCTCAGTCTTCGGAGGAGAACATCTACTAGTTCAAGTGGGGAGACACACTCCATTAACTTTGATATCCAAAGGAATCAAACTTACTGCCTCATTTAAGGATGTTATCATAGTCTAATCTTGAAATGACAAAGGAAAAGTTAACAGTAGCAAGACCAACCTCTGAAAGACAAAGTAAACTTTTCAACTGACCATAGACACAAATACACACTTCTCATCAAGGTTTTCAACCGCTTATTCTACAGCTCTTATGCCTCAAACTTCCCCCAAGTGCTGAAAGGTTTTAACCAGTGAAAGATAAATCCTATTAGCAGACTGCAATATACATTCATTCAGGTTCATTCCCTTATCATACCCTCAGTCATACCCATACCTCAACATGTATGACACAAAGATCTTAAACTGTGCTAGCTAAGCTGCAGGAGGAGATACATGTGGATTCAATTACCCTACCAACAACTCTTCCAATAGACTAAAATACAAAATACTTCTGGTACTTGCACAAGAAAATGTTAGTCACCCCGTAACTAGCATTAACAGGTAGAAGACGTAGAATAAGCCACCAAAGAAAAGCACTGCCCAGTCCCAAAGTGTGTAAGAAATTTAAAAACTTCTCAGGATCCACTATCTGCTGACTTTCCTCACAAACCACACCCAATATGTCCCTCAGCATACTTATAATCACAAACCTAGCATTCATTTCTACTGCATGCTTCTCAAATTATTCATCAACAGGAATTGTCTTATCCGCAAAAGAAAACAAAAAACCACAAAAGAAAGAAAGAAAAGGAAATGGGCCATAGTTTTGTGTTGCAGACACATTCTCAAAATAGAATCAGAGATTCCACGCTTCCCCCCCCACCCCAAGAACAGATTCACATTAAGGGGAAGAGACACAAAACTGATTCATCTCATTAAATACCAATATGCAGAGACAGAAGGGTAGGAGTTACAATTCAGACTTCAAATAGGATTGTCTTTGGTTAAAACATAATCCAGACAAGTGCAAGTCAGAGCTGGCATTTTATACCCATGGACTGAGCTGAAAAAGTGTTTGTTTTCATTCACTTCCTAGTACTATGGTGTCTAATTAGATTACGTAATTTCAACAGATAAAGTTAGCTTCCAGGAGTAAGCAAAAGGGCAATTTAAATTACTTAAGGGATTCACAAGATGATGTGTGTGTATACATACATATCTAACAGCAACAGTAATCTCTCAAGCTCAACAGTGATGTAACAGAATACTTCTACCTGTATTATACCTATTTACTCACAAAACATAACCTCAGTAAGGATGATTGTCCTGTTTGGCAGTTCACATAAAAAAAAGCAAGCGTGGGAACAAGTCACTCTGAATTTTTTGTACCATTTACGCTGACACAGGGTAGAGTCTTCTGCTTCCTTAGTTTGAGCTACACCATCTAAAAATAAGAAATCCAGAAAGATATTTTATACTTACCTATACTACAGAAACCAGATACTTCCAGAATACCCCAGTACCATCATAAAAATAACTTGCTAGCAATCAAATTACTGCTGCAAGACTCTATTCGGCATTTATATTGGGTACTTCCTATTTGGAAAGATTTCATGAAGTTAATAATTCAACTGAAAATTTTTACCAGAAGGAGTATTATAGTTGGTATAAGAAAATTAAAAAAAAACACCAAAAATGCAGTTTTCCAGGTCAGGTAAAGGTCCAGGTTTTTTTCCAGTTGTTTCCAGTTTCAAGACATTATTTATTTGAAACCTGAAACACGTCATTTTAGAAACTGACTAAGAGTTTCAGGGATGAAACAACTAATATTGATGTTACCATCACAGCTTGAAGCATGGCATTACAGTCACTCCACCAGGTAAAAAGCCATCTATGATAAGCACTCCAGGATCTTATCTGACTTTTGCCTGCTGCAATTTTTTAATCGCTCAGCTTTCATTGCTCCAGACTCACATGCTAACTGCCAGATCATCCTCTGTCCCCCTTCTATGACTGACACAGCCGTGTGCTTTTAAGCCTCTACTGACTGAATACCACATCCTTCAGCATTAAAAAGAAAAAAAAAGATGGGTACAAAAAAGAGGGGCGCAAAAAAAAGTGACATTTTCTACCACCTTGAATCTTAGGATGGAAAAAAAACCCAAAATCTCCCAGAGTACAATGCTGTTATTCACCTCACATTTCAACAGATTTCAACTTCCTTAAATCCTATGGCCTTTGACAGCTCGTCCTCTCTACAGGAGTTTTCTTGCTCACACATTCCATTCAGAGCCAGACAATTCTCAGTCTCTCAAGGACAGAATATTTCCCAAACAGTAATACAGCTATATTCATATGGCTTGCTCTCACAGCATCTCCAGGATGCTAACTATATGGTATTTGTGGCTGTATTGGATTTGCGTGGCAAGGTTTTGGTAGTGGGAGGGCTACAGGGGTGGCTTCTGTGAGAAGCTGCTAGAAGCTTCCCCTATGTCTGACAGAGCCAATGCCAGCCGGCTCTAAAATGGACCCGCCACTGGCCAAGGCCAAGCCCATCAGTGACAGTGGTAGTGCCTCTGTAATAACATATTTAAGAAGGGGGAAAAAAACCAGAGGAACACAAAAGCTGCAGCTGGAGTGAGGAGTGGGAATATGTGAGAGGAAGGACTCTGCAGACACCAAGGTCAGTGAAGAAGGAGGGGGAGGAGGTACTCCAGACACCGGAGCAGATTCCGCTGCAGCCCATGGTGAAGACCATGGTGAGGCAGCTGTGCCCCTGCAGCCCACGGAGGGCCATGGCGGAGCAGAGATCCACTTGCAGCCCAGGGAGTGCCCCACGCCGGAGCAGGGGGATGTGCCCGAAGGAGGCTGTGACCCTGTGGGGAGCCCATGCTGGAGCAGGCTCCTGGCAGGACTTGTGACCCTGTGGGGGACCCACACTGGCACAGTCTGCTCCTGAAGGACTGCACCCCATGGAAGGGACCCACACTGGAGCAGTTCATGAAGAACTGTAGCCCGGGGGAAGGACCCACATTGGAGAAGTTTGTGGAGGACTGTCTCCTGTGGGAGGGACCCCACGCTGGAGCAGGGGAAGAGTGTGAGGAGTCCTCCCCTGAGGAGGAGGGAGCAGCAGAGACAACGTGTGATGAACTGACCTCAATTCCCACTCCCCATCCCCCTGCGCTGCTTGGGGAGGAGGTAGAGAAAATTGGGAGTGAAGTTGAGCCGGGGAAAAAGGGAGGGGTGAGGGGAAGGTTGTTTAAGATTTAGTTTTTATTTCTCATTTTCCTACTCTGATTTGATGGGGGAGAATCAGTTTAATGTATTACCAAAGTGAAGTTTGTTTGGCCCGTGATGGTAATTGCTGAGTGACCTCTCCCTGTCCTTACCTCAACCCACAAGCTTTTCGTTATATTTTCCCTCCCCTGTCCAGTTTGAGAAGGGGAGTGATAGAGCAGTTTTGGTGGGCACTTGGCATCCAGCCAGGGTCAACACAGCACAGTAGCTTATTGTAAACATTTGCTATATGGTGCTACTCTGTATACTCAGAGGTCTGCATTTGGTAAAATGACATTTAAGCACCTAACTTTAACTAAAGTTTTAAAATTTTTGGAAATTGTGAAAAGGTTTACCACATGGATGATTTCCAAAAATAATTTTAGAAGAATTACCGTTTTCAGTAGAATTTTCTTGTATTGACATATTCTGTGGATTGGACACATTCTCTGGACCAGCTGTATCTTCCTTTATGCTTCTGAACAAAGAAGACAACATTTTTAAAAGAAAGGGTTTAAATATGTTTAATACTTAAAGGATTCCTAATCATAGTTGGAAATCCTTTTGAAGTTAAGTTTTTCATTATAATATATACAAAAATACAATAAAATGCACTTCTAGCAAACCATAAATATCACCACAGGGTCACTGAACTTCAGTAACTCAGTAAGAAGCATTTATACAGAAATTCAAGTTAGGAGAACATTTAGAATTCTGATGGTACCAGCATTTCCTTTGAATCATCAAAAGATATTGGCCTTACTGTGTGTGACAGGCCTAGATAGGAAAATGATTCCCTTTTGCAAAGATTTCCAGTAGGTTTGGGGGCTTTTTGGTCATATTTCATTCTGACTTGGAAAAAGTAAAATTTCAGAATACTCAAAGTTCTTCACTCATTAGTAAGAGACCTCTGGCTTTCCAGCTGTACAGCTAGGGGCTTCACTAGCTGAACTCAAGATTCAGGAAACGTTGCAACAGAGGCAATCTACTTGAGAGCTTAGACAGATGCCACAACCCCCTGTTCTGCAACAGCCTAGGAGATCTGTCAAAACATTACTGAGAAGAACACAGCGCTGCATAATTTTTGAAACACTGAGTCATCTGTCCAAATGAAAAATACTTTCTTGCATTACCTCCAAACACCTAGTGGCATAACAGGACTGAATCCAGTCTAGTAAGCCATCACCTAATGTTTCAGACTGCATAAATAAATACTCACTTTTCAATTAATCCATATTGAAGATTTAGTATTAAATACCTATGCAGCCATCTTTATTCAGCACTGACACAGCTTACTAATTTACCTCCAAAGTAAGGTGAGATTAAAGTCATTTTAGTCATAAATGAGACACCTTTAACCACTTCTACCTTTAAAAAATGCTTTGAATCTTTTCCAGATAATTCCAACTAAACAATTCTTTGAGGATAGGTAAAATACAGCACAGCAATTTCAACTTACAGTATTTTTTAGAAACTATTTCTGAGTAATGTACTTGAAGGAATCAAACACTTTTTCACTTTTTTTAAAAGTCAAGTCTCCTACAATTTACTGAATAGCTTTGGAAAGCCTAAGTCTGAGAGAATCTAATCTTACCTTAAAGCAAGCAAGGTTCTACAAAAATGTTTAATTATTTGCACGCCACACAGAAACCCTAAAAACAGCCACCAAGCAAGGAGGTGCCTCACAAGCTGAAGGAGGACTTGAAAGGTAGGGGGCTGAAAACTGGTCAAACAGAGAACAAAGTTAGACAAAAGCTTTGTATATGAATTCTGCAATGAAGCACCTGAAATTGACACAACCAACATGTAACTGCATATTCTGCAGCAAGGAGAAGATATTCCTGCCAAAAAAAATAAAAACCAAACCACTTTTCAACCTAGGCCTACTATCTCTCCAACTGTGGAAACACTTGCAGTGAAGGATATCCTGCGTTTCTCAAACACCATTAATCAGGAGTGACTGGAATATTTGCCAAGTCTTCATGGGACGACATCCAAAGATCACATAAAGAGATTGAAGGATCTAGTGTTTTGATTGTGCATTTATTGAACAGTCAACAAGGTAGTAAATTAGAGAGATGCCTATGCATTAGAGATGGGCCATGACCTCCTCCATTATCATCAAAAAGGTCTGGAGAGAAGGCCCAGAGAGAGTGGCTTTATTCGTAACTGACTGATTATTCCAAAGCAAGGATACTACTTATATCTATAGACCATGTTAATTTTGGGAGATGATTATGTGAGCCATTTTCTTTCCATGACAAAGATGCTTACAGCAATTAAGACTGAACTTGATCTTACTGACAAGTGCTGTTTACGACATGCAAAATTCTGGCTATGCCAAGCTTGCCTGAAAGGCTGTGCAGCCTATATATGCTAAGGTCCACTGGTTTAGAAGACTGCTAACATCTGTGGGAGTAGAACACCACCACTTTCATTCTGGTCACAGAGGTAAGATCCTTGCACTGCATCTGACAAACCACAAGCATTTAATTAACTGAAGAATCTTGCTGGCTTTTGAACTAACGAGGGAGACTGATGAACAATCACAAAAAGACCAGGACTCTGTAGCAAGGACACATCATTGAAGTGAATGGCTGAGGCAAAAGAACAGAAAACTCACCCGCTATACTGAGTGCTGCTTGATGCACTAATGGGAGGTGGTTTGGGCTGCGGATGTCAGGCCGGAGTTCTGCAATGTAGGCAATTTGCCAAGTAGTTCAGAGAAAAATGAGTTTTCAAAATAGCATGGGAAGTGTGTTTTATCTTTGTGCTGTTTTATATAGTCTTTCACTGGGCAGAAGCATTCTTTGATGCAATTATCATGACCAGAGAAAAATAGGGTGATACAAGTATTAAGGGTACCTGTTAAGTAATGAGCCATACTCATAGCCAAGAAGGACAACGATAAGAGACTAGCACACTGCACACACAAATCCTAGACAAAAAAACAGAGTAATACAGAATGCTTGTCGAACTAGCACAGATTAAGGGGAGGCAAAGTGATCTGCCACATACGAAGAAGTACAAATTTCTTTTATAAAATTTAAATCTGCAATGAAGCATCTGAAATTTGCATAACCAACATGTAACTATGCATATTATGCAACAGGGAGAAGATACTCTTGCAAAAAACACCAATGAAGTTACTCAGTCAACTTCAGCTTACAGGAGCTCTTTGAGTCCCCTTTATTTAACTAGTACCTTACTAAAAAAGACTGCAGCCAGTTCTGAATGTTTCAACAGTAGTATCAGGCTTAGTGAATCTGCAAAAAGTAATCCAAGCAGTTGCGTTACAGATATTTGAGACAGAATTGCTGCACACAGCACCACAATAAAGTTGTCTGGTCTCTGGCATTACGTGCTCTGGTGACCATTAGGAGATTATCAACCTTCCTGTTCAGTAACAGCATGAAACAAGAAATAAATTCAAAAAGGTTGTGCTCGAGGTAGCGGAAACCTCAGAGCCCAAGATCCTCTGTGAGGAAAAAAGCCTTCCAAGCATCAACACTGCAAACACTGTTCTCAAATACTGATTTTTAAGGCTGAACAAAATATGGGAAAAAACAAATCCTTTTGTTAAGATTAAACTCTGGTACAGTTCCAGATAGAAATGCAGGAACCTCAATCTAAGATGGAAATGAACTATAGAGGGGGTTAGGCTTCCTCATCTTGTTGACTGGCTAAGTCACAGAAACAACAGCCGTAATTAACTTGCCCAACCCTGAGACAACACATACAGTGCCCATACTGGTATTACAGGGACCTTTTTTGTTTATGAAGCAGTATTTACTCTCTGAAAGAATATATTTGAGATTTCTCTCTTCCTTGCAAATATTAAAGAAAACTTGGTTGGTCAGACAAAAGCATTTAAATTGTATTTTCAATGATGGCTCTCCAAACTGAAGAATACATGGCTAAAGAAACTCTTGAACAAGGTGCCACACAGAGGCCAGAATGAAAAAGCTACAGATGTCTTGCTCACAAGCATTTTAAATCAAGGGTCCTAGGATCTGGGACAGGCCATGGTGAGATGTGCCCTTCCACCACATACAGTATATACTCAGTTCTGAAAGTTTACAAGGCACAGACAAGAAAAAAAAGTACAGTGCTCTTACTGCAAAAAACATCATGTAGCCATACTCTTTAAGTGTATGGCCCTAATCCTTTTAAAGTAAACTGTTTAAATATTCCAGCTTGAACTTGCAGTTGTACAAACACCAACAGTATGCTCTACTGTATTGACTGGTATTATGTACTGACTAGTCAGCATTCAAAAAAGGCACTGCTCATAATAAAAGGTAACAGAATTTGAATTCAGACTCCGTATTTTCATGATAAACTTGACTATCTGCATCAAATACTAGTTTAACATTTTCTAGAATTGGTATTTTTCTTTCCAAGATGATTACGTGGCTAAAAGGAAAGCAGACATATCACAAACACTGTTGTCTCTGTGTTTAAATGAAAATCATATTCAGTAATATTAATCATGAAAATATCCAGTCAAAATTAAATAATAGATTTTTTTTCCTAATAAAGTATATGCGGAAAAAAAAATTTGTAAACACTTACAAAGGCTCCAAGTCCTCTGCATGATCCAATACCTTCATGTATCCACATAACTTCTGAAGTTGTGTTATATGTTCTGGATTGTCAGTCCCCAGGCCCGTAGACAAAATCTCAGATCGAATGTTGTATTCATTGATAGACATCTTCAAATCTGAAAGCCTGGTAACTCGGACCTTGAATTACAAAAGATACTAAATGGAAATCATAGTTCATAAATGGTCTCTCTCCAGCTCTGAGCTGTTCTTTATGTAAAACTTTAAACATACCCCTATTTATTTATACCTGTAAGCAATTTGTTTTCTCTGATTTTCAAACAGGAACCTATCCATGTTTAATTGTTTTCAAAGTAAGCCATCTTTTTCATTGTGATAATGGCTGAAGTAACTAGTAGCTAGTCCCATCCAACAGAAACAAGATGGCAATGAAGTAAACAGTCCTAGCCCTGATTACACAAATTACAGCCAAAATACACACTGCATAGTTAGAATAACTTCTAGACCCAAATAACAATAAAATTGCTGGGGGGCATGGTAAGAAAAACCCTAAACAAGAACAAAAGCATAGAAATCAGAGAAAGGTTGAGATATGCCATGTGTGGAAGAAAGCTACTAAAGAGAATTACTTCCAGATCATTTTCTCTTTCTACTTTATTTTTCAGCTGACTGAACGGTCAGATGGAAAACATCGCATGACACATTTTTAAGCACAGGAATAACTTACTGTACTCTTTGGCAGGACCAAGCAGCCACAAGAGGCACATCACGATCCTGCAATATAGGGAGGCCCTTCTGATGAACTTGTCCAAACCATTAAAAAAAAAAACAAACCAAACAACCCAAAAAAACACCCCTCAACTTCCGAGCTACCTTTGATAACAGTTCTTCACACAACTTCTTGCTCATAAAGTGAAATTATTTCTTCACAGATGTCATAAAAATGCAACTAGCTTGTTCATGCCATTAGTAAAGACTTAAAAGGCACATGATTTTTTTGTCCTTTGATGTAACTGTCAGAATAGATTCCTGCCTTTCAAAAAAAGCCAAAAAAAACCCCCAAAACCCCCTCCTTTCAGGTAAAACACAGCCCTAAGGCAATCTTCTACCTGCAAAGTTTTGGGAGAATAGGAGAATACTCAGAGGCAACATCATCACATGGATGACATTGTCTCTAACTCTTCCCTAGCTATCACCTTCCAGTCAGCACTACCAACAGGAATACTCTGTCCAGGCCAGTACTGCCTTTCTCACAAGCCAGGGAACTGACAGAAGAACAATACAAACATGGTACTGACCGTAACATTTTAATTTCAGGAAAACCTAAGAAGTCATCTCCAAGAGAACCAGTAATTAAAGCACTTTTATCACATGTCTGAGATTACTGCAGTGAGAAGATGTAAAAAAAACCAAACCAAAAAACCCCCCTTAATATCTGAAAAGTCAGAATCACAGCCTTTATATCCAATTGATGGTTACAGGTCCTCTTTTGAATGCTGACAGAAAGAAATTCAGTTTATGAAGAAAAACTCACAACACTACACATTAACAGTCTGCAAGACCAAGAATTCTTCTAGACGTTAGAATAAGTAAAATTGTGAAAAAATCCAAGAACAAGAGCACCCATTCTTCCTATTCTGATCAAGAAAACTAAGGAAAACAGCTTAAAAGCATTTTTTAATTTGCAGAAAAATTTAGAATAAAATTAACTCTAAACTAGTGCAAGAACCATAAAAGACAGCAAAGACTTAGAAATATAAACATAATAAATTGAGTCTCACAAAAAAGGTCTTAGACATCAGCAAACAATCTTGGAGGATCAAAGTTTCATTCTTTCAGAGGAATGTGTGACAAACTACAGAACTGATTTTACAAGACAAAACCCTAAAAACTAGTACTTCCAAAATATACTTTTGTTATTAACTTTGGGGCACAGTCTGGATGACATTTATAATTAATTTGGTGCTCTGTAACTGGTGCATATTCAGCTCTCCAGATTTAAAGTTCAGGTTTTACTCAGTCATGTATTCTATCTATATACAAGCATACATATTTATCACAGAATGGCTGAGGTTGGAAGGGACCTCTGGAGGTCATCTTGTCCAACCCCCCTGCTCAAGCAGGGTCACCTAGAGCCAGCTGCCCAGGACCATGTCCTGAGTGCTTCTGAGTATATCCAAGGATGGAGACTCTGCAACCTCTGAGCAACCTGTTCCAGTGCTCAGACACCATCACAGTAAATTAACCAATAGTATTATGCAAGTGCCACATAGAATAAAATTAAAATAGAAATGGTCAGAAGGAAAGAGAAGAATGGGTGCTCTTGTTATAAAGGAGCTTAGACACAAATATTTTGTAATGCTACAATTCTATACCTACCATTGGATCAACCCAAGCTGTGTTTCCCAAGGTATGTACTATTTTTGCTTCATGTAGTTTTCCTTTAATTTTGTGATGAATATAATCAGTTACCTAGGAAAAACAAATTTTTACTGCACTTGATATGTATACCAACATAACTTCAGTTACTTTAATTATAATGAAACAATCCTCTGAGCTTAACAATGAAAAGGGTATTCAATAAATAAAACCAGTTTTGAGTAAACTAGTGAAATACTCCAACTTTACTGTAGGTTAAAAAAATAGCACTAGCCTTTAAGTAAGGAGCTTTCTTAACGGAAGGATACTCAAACACAGGTTAATTTGCAGAGGCTACCCTTCCTGTTACTCCCCACAGATTCAAAAGCAGCAATAACTTGTTTTGGAATAAGCCATTTAAATCACAGAGAAGAAAATCCCCTAAAATTTTGCTTTATTATTTTGTAGGAAAACAAAAAAGAAAACTGACTACTTAGACTCTGGCCCAACAGCAGATTATTTATCAGTAATACTAATAAGCACTGCAAATTTGGTAACTAAATTTGCAGTTCATAATCATTTTCTTGTAGAAAATGACACGCAGAGAGACACTGAAGAACTTAAAGTAAATACCATGAAAAACCTGATAAATATTACCTTCGGGTTCCATTCAATTTCATTATCAATGGGTTTCACTCTACAAACTACAAATTCCACAGCCTGAGGTGGCAGACACTGAAACCTCGCAGGTAAGTGAAGCAGCTGATAGCTTTGAACTTGACTTGTTCTGCCTTCATCTATATATTTAATTTTGATGTTAAAGAACGAATTTTCCTCCTCTTTCGGGGAAATCTCTACCACCTGAACCCTTCATACAGTAGGGGAGGAAACACAGAATTATTATTCATATAATTAGCTGTAAAAAGTTTTTTAATCTACTCTTGTTTAAAAAAAATGGTATTTGCATAGCAAAATATCTAACTCTGTGTGTGCATGTGAATAGTCATTCTGTTTTCCATTCAGTAACTGAAAAACTATATGATAGCTTTTTAAAGAATGACTTGAATAGCAGTGAATTTTTGATGGTTTTGGGGGTGGGTTGACTTTTTTTTTTTTTTTAAATGAAACAGTGAAAGTTTTAAATTACTTTGTATAAAAAAGTGCACATGAATAATTTAAAAAACAACATTTTTACCTGTGAAAAAGTGTTTTCTCACATAATCCATAAAGTGCTAGCTTCTCCACGTTTTTAACAGAAATTTTATTACTAGGTTTCTTAAAATACTCATTAATTTCTTCAGCAAGAATTGTATATTGGTCCTTTTGTTTATCTACTATTCGACCAAAGTAGTTTGTTGCATTTACAATGTGGAGAGGCAGTATCTGAAAGCATAAAATACATTAGAAAAAAAGAAGACTGGATGATTTCTTATATCAATGAAATGTTAAGTTTTCATATTCAAGATCACCTACCTCCTTCCAGCCCAGAGATGTGACAGAGAGGCTGCTACATGCACACATTTCAGAACATTATGAGTTATTATTATATTAAGATTATGAATAATACTAATTGCCCATAGCCCAGTCAACAGTGGACAGAAATTTATAGAGCAAGAACTGTTAGGTCTCAGTGGTATTTCACTTAAATGAACACCAGTGAACTATACTATTACCTGCCCAGCTACTAGCCACTAAGGCATTGTACACCATTCAAACTTAATTCGAAGTGTTCTCCAACCTCACAGTGAGTTTTAGAAGAACTGACTGGGGAAGCATGAGGCCTTCACTCTCTTTGCACTAAAATTACTTAAATGAAAAACTATGAATATACTACTGTCTAATGCATAGAATGCTGGCTGCATTCCATCCAAAGGGTCATACCAGGCAGAAATACTGAGATACAGCTGGGTGTATGAGGCCAGACAGGATAGTAAGAGGAACAGAAAGGTAATTTCCACTTAAAAAAAGCCTAAAAAAGCACAATGTGACTTGAGATTCTTAAAGGAAGGAAACATTATACTGGGTTCCAAACAAAAAAGAAAGTGAATACTTATCACAGTGATAATTGATTTGTAAGAGGGACACCCAGGCTCTGCAGTCAGCAGAAGCTGAGGTAGATGAGGAAATGGAAAAGGCCACAACTGCGGTCTTGAGTGCACCACAGGTTAAGTGCAAGTTTCTAATGGGAGCATCATGAAATCTGTCCACTAAATCCAGCAAATCCATCTGGCACTAAAACCAGATACAGGTAGGCTGTCAAAGGGTTTGAACTCGTACCAACCAAAAAGCTTATTTTAGGCAGAAATTGAGCGACACCAAAGAATCTACCCAGTTCTCCATATTTTCTATTCTCACAACCTGTGACTTTTCTGAATGGATAACACCCACTAACTGCATGACCTGAAGGCACCTGAATTCTATAAAAGACAGGACAGGAAGAAGGTGGAAGCAGCTCATCCAAATGGAAGGCATCCAGCACTTCTTAGACCCAAGTGCTAACTTCGGAAGGAAGCACCAATGTCTACACACCTGCCCTCAGCAATCATCATCCAGCAAGGAGACAAGAGAGAGACTGTACAATACTGCTGTATGGGAAGACACTCTAGTATAGAAGGGACTGAAAAGCCAGGTGAAGGGAGCTGGAAATACAAACTGTTGCTGTAAAGAACCACCACTGCAAAGTCAACCCAATAACCATGAAGGTTTAATGACTGTGAAACTATTAAAAAAAAAAAAGTCCAATTAGAACAGCATGCTGTACCAAAATGGTTTTCAAAAAGCACTGATATCTTAGTAGGAAATAACTGTTCCATCTAGAAGATAAAGGAGCTGTATCCCATTTTCTGTGGATACTGCAAATGAAAATACTAGTTTCAAATGACAAGGCCAGAACACGTTCATTTTTCAGCAAGTTTGCACGAACATGTCAGCTAAGAAAAAATCCTCACTTCCAAGAAAACATGCATCATCTTCAGCTTCTCTTCAAAAGATTAATTTGTGTTTCCTCTACAATAAATGTAATTGAAGTTTGTAAGAACTTTAACCTTTGTTAATTTTGGTATATGGTCTCAATTTATAGAGGGAAGGAATAAACAGAACATAAGCCCTCTTCCCACAGAACGTCAATCTTAAATGCAGAAGAAAATGTGAGGTAAACTCAGAATCACCTGCAGAACAATTTCAATTCAAGCTAAGGATTAAGGGAAAATCTGGCACACTTCTTTATGCAAGGAAGAGAGGAAGAAAGCTAACATATAACAAATATCCAAGAGATATAGTATATACATACTACAGTAATATTAATGTAATATGAAAAAATAAGTAATATGCTAAATAGCTATTTAAGACCTGTCTTCTTGGTACCCAAAACCAAGGTAAATAATAACAACTTACTGTGACACATCCAGGTGTTTGTATAATTTTATCTGGTATATTCTGGGCCACGTCTACTTGTAAATTAATTTGATGACGATCTGGACACACTCTTCTATTCCTATGTATTAAGAAAATGGTTTTAGAAAAAAAGCCCTTTGTTTTCAGTTGTAAACTGTTTTGATGTGACTTACAACAGCTTTAAACACTAAAATTTTGTCAGCCCTGAACATTCAATTTGTCTCTAGTAGCACCAATGACTCTCGGGGTTAGACAGACATGGCCAAAAAGCTCTTGGTGGAAAAGTTTATACAAGAAAACAAAAAAACCCACCACCCACCAGAAAACTTGTTTCAGTGTAAAACAAGCACTAACATTGGATTTTTTTGTTACTTGCAACAACAGTTATCTACACTAGAAGTCATAACTGAAAATGCTTTATCTTCATCCTTCAGGCATTACTTACAACCCAGTTACACACAGCTCAGAGAAGTCATCATTTACTTCCCCACTCTGGAAGGACAGGACACAATAGGGGAGAGAGTAAAGCACAAAACTCGTTGCAATTATGGCTAGAATACTAGTCAAAACAATGGCTTAAAGTTCCCCCAAGTACATCTAAGCAGGAGTTATAATTATTCTGCTATGTCAGACTATGTATGATTGGTCTCCATAACAACGTTAATATTTTTGTTTGCATAAAAGTACCTAAGAGGAGTGAAACAGATGCAACAGTGAACAGGGCGGAGGGGGAAATCATGAGCAAAACCTGGTTTGACTAAAGGTATCCAACAGGATAATTCATCAAGGAAGTAAAAGCAGTCATCATTCAGGGCATACAATGCCTTTCTGTGTCAGTATGAGTATCAAGAAAACTTGGTATTTCCTTACTTGCAAATCCCAAATGTTTTAAGATAGCCACACAGTGGCCTTGAAAATTTCTTATCTTCTTCAGCTTCTAGCGTCTTGGCAGTAAAATCATGCAGCTCTGGTGGAATTTCAGCTTCCGCGTGCTGCAAATAGTGCAGGATCCCAAGTGCATGATATGCACTGTTTTCTGTTAGCAGAATGACTGACCTTGCCTTTGTATATTCCTGATCTACAGAAGAATCCTAAAAATATATGCATATATTTTTTAAAAGCTTTTATGTACCCACCATTTAATAGTCAAATGTAATATTAACCCATTAAAGATTTACTCAAACCTTTATCACATTACAGAAGTTGTCAGACATGCTGTGTAGACGCTGAGCAAAGATTCTTGGAGAAGGAAAACTGAAATGTATCACGCAAGTTGCATCTGTAATTCCCAAAGACTGTATGCAGTCATCTGTTAAAACTAAGCACATGTTTTATACACACATATAAGATAACTCTAATACTTCAAGCATGTGAAGTATTACATCACATTGGCAGTGGTTGTTTCCTTCTCCCCATCCATTAATAATTAAGAAAAAGGTCTTTTCCCAATACACTTACATAAGGCATTGTATTTCTTCGGTCAATATACTTCATAAGCACATGGCAGAAACAGCGTTTCATGTTAGTCTCTAATAACCTAGCATAATTTTGTATCAGTATCACAGAATAAATGGAAGTGCCCACAGCCAAGTACTTCACAAGAGTAAGACAGAAAACACTTGTAGTAATGCAGAAATGCTAACACCTTTGTATGAACCTACAAAGCAGATGTAATTAAGTCAATCTTCTTGCTTTTGATGTACAAAATGGAAAAAATTAAGTTTGAAACTGGGTAAGAGTCTTTGCTACTCAAACAACTTCAAAAATAAAGTTCTACCAGAACATATGGGAAACGATTACAATAAGTCTCTCGAGTTTCTAAATTATTTCAAACTGAAAATATCCTCTGTAGTAGGAGACAGTTGGGAAATCATGGAAATTCTCTGTAAGTACATGTAGTTCTTTTAACTAATGCATCAAAAAACTCCTTTACGTTCCCTCTAGTAAGTAAGGTTTTCCCCTGCAGCAGTTAACCCTGGGCCCCAGGAACAACAACAACAGCAGCAAAAAAAAAAGACAGACTTAGCTGTAGCACTAATAAGTAAAGGGATAACTAGAAAGAATTCATAGGGAACTGACCCCATGGAAGTGATGAGATAACCTAGTATTAGTATTCAGCGTAGAACATGAGACACCATGAAGACATAATCACAACTAGACAAAAAAAAGAATACTCACCTAACACAACAGGAGCGCCAGAACTATACTTTTTTGTCCACTGCTCTAAGACATACTTGAAATTAAACTCACTCTCTTTATGTATTTTCAAGGAAAATATTGAATTGCTCTTCAGTGCCTGGATGACAAAGTAAAAAGTTATATGTTCTTCCAATACAGCAATAACAGCCCTAATAAACTCTAATAAATAGTATATCTTATTAGTATCTAGCATATCTTAGCTACTGGAAAGAGAGCCAAGGGAAAG